TATACTTAGTAGTTTGGTTTGAGGTTCTATATAGATCATATGATTGTGATAACTGTAAAATGTGTGAACATGTCTTCTTTGGTGCTACTAGTAGCAGTTTCCTTAGAGATATATTCATGTATATCTTTGATTCACAGCTACACTCTTCACTTCTAACTAGCTAGCTCACGGGAATGTCTTGTTACCTCTCTGAATAAGGTGTTTCTGCAAGGCAAGAATAGGATATGACCTGATATGAGCATAGAAAATAGCATTAAGAATGAAAATAGCATTAAGAATGAGACATTTTCAGCTACAAACAGACACATACAATGATATAATGGGTCTTCTCATTTTTAAATCTTTTTTTAATAGAAATTTGTTCTAAAATTAGTGATTTCTTTTTCTTTTTTTTACAATAATGGTGTATTTCTACTGTTACAGTTTAATGTATCAAAATATAAATGTTTGATTTTAGATGTCATTGTGCTCTGATGACATTGCATGGTTTGAAATACCACAAGGGGGCATATATGTAGCAGACCTATGTTGATCATGTTTTAATTTCAGCCATGTTTTTATGTAAGGTTATATTATGACTTTTTGTTACTCTCTCAGGTTGATATAATAACCTAATTCTTTTCTACTGTTTTTGATTTGTGTTGTCATTTTTAAAAGCAAAATATTTGTACTCCAGAATTCACGTACAAACATAATAAACAGAATATTGTGGTTAAATGAGCTGTGTACCTAAGTATCTATAATGGCTCCAGAAAATATTAAGATACCAGAGCTGCAACAATTAATTAGTTGGACAGAAAATTAATCTCCAGTTATTTTCAATTATCTATTGCCATTTTTCAAGCAAATGTGTAAAGCATTCTCTAATTTAAGCTTCTCATTTGTGAGAATGGTTTGTTGGGACTGTGAACTGATCTTCTGTTGGTAGTACAAAACAAGCACATTTTCAGTCACCTTGGAATTAAAAACATTTAGCAAATCTTTGACACTGTATAGACCACATGATTAAGTAAATGGCTAATTAATCCATAAAAATAATAGTTGCAGTTCTAAGTCATATTTGTATGTATGCATTTTAAAACTTTCTATTCTTGTATATCCTTCCAAAAAGAAATTCTCCATAAAGTTTAGCCACCTCTCAGAAAATTATATTTCTTGCTCATTTTCACTGTGAAAAAGAGTGAATACTATTGCAGCCTAAAACCATTACAGTCTTTCTTCAAAGGTTAGTGCACTGTAACTTCTTAGTTCATAAACTTTGAAAGTGGCAAGGAAATTGTATACAACTGCATGTGACCTGATTTGACCCCCTCCCCAGGCAAAAAAGTTATATTTGTATCCGGACTGATTATGATAAAAGTTAGAAAACCAGTTTTTTATTGTGCAATCAAAATATATCTGTAGTTAGGAACGGTTGTAATTAAGTATATATTTATTTATTAAGTTATAGAGGTGACAAAACAATAGACTTGCATTAAACATAGGCATTTTCCATATTCCTTTAAAAATGTTCTTTGCAAATCGCGAAGAACGCTTTCAAAACAACTTTCACAACTACTAACTTTACATGACCGCTTTCGGTTACACCCGGGTGGACAATCAATGTAGAAAAATGAGAAACACTCCGTTTCTCATATACTTGATACTAATGTAAAAGCATCGACTTGCGCGATAAATATCAATAAAAGCGGCCAAACCACACATTTCGACTAGTAACTTAAAAAGTGGCCACAGAAATGTTATGAACGCTGTTGCATTGTGGGACGGATGATTGACGCGGCGGCCATTTTCCCGCTGGACGGCGCTTCCCATTGTGGAAACGAAGAATATTGAGACAAGCGAAATATTTCTCACCACTTCTACTCACTTTTTCCTGAGGTAAGCCTCACGAAATGTGCCACTGCCTTTGTGAATGAGCTTTGTGTTTTTAAGTTGTAAACGTTTGTTTTTGTAACATTTAACAGAGGTTCAAAAACCGTCTTATTTTATCGCATCAGAAAATAACAAACACGGCTGTCGAGACGACGGTGAAATGCAGTCTTTTCTGTAGTCGTTCAGCTGAGGGGAAATTCCATTTCAAATTCTGCGCCTGTTCAGCTCGGTTCTACGCAGCTGTTAGAGACTGTTCCGTTTTCCTAAGCCAATCCATGAGTTCTTTGAAATGTCTTTTGTATTGTTCTCTTATTTCCCGATAGGATGGACGAACGATTACTTCAAAAAATTATGTTGTTTATGTGCTAGTCCTTCGCTCTTCTGCCATGGGTCTTTATCCCGTTTGCGCATCAAACCGCCGCCATCATCATAGCGGGGTAGGCGGACCTAGCAGCAGTGTAATGCAGCCATAGAGGCTTATGTTTGTATGTGATTGGTCCATACGTGATGTTTTTTTAAAATACGTATTAGTCTGTCCGCCAATCACATCGTGCTTCATCTTTGATTGATGTTTGTCGCGATTATTGTGATGAGGTATGCCTTGTATATTTACCTAGTTTACTTTTTAACTTCATTCAAGTTATCTTTCCCCATTTACAAATATTGTGCAAGATGTGTCTTAGATTTTAAAAAGTAAGTGTCTTTGAGGTTCATAATCGCTGTTTAGGAAATGTCTTCCACAACGGTGGTAACAAGTACAAGACCAGTGTAGAAAGCAACATTTAGCTTTTTTTCTGTTAGATGATTTGTATGCTTGCATATTGGTGCCATGAAAGCATTACTTCTTACTCTGAGTGATCAGGATAAAAGAAGATAACTCACAGCGAGAACTCTTAATCATAGAACAAACTTTGCATATAAAAGTTGCTGAATAATTTGTCATTTCTTTGCAGTCATCTGCAGCTGATTTATAGTAGTCATGGCCCGTACCAAGCAGACTGCCCGTAAGTCCACTGGAGGCAAAGCCCCACGTAAACAGCTGGCCACAAAGGCTGCTCGCAAGAGTGCCCCTTCAACTGGTGGTGTGAAGAAGCCCCATCGCTACAGGTGAGGCAAAAATATCTCAGAGACAAGTATTTCCATTTTGTCCTAAACCAGGTGTACGAAACTGTGAGATCCTAATGTCTTTTCAGTTCTCACCAAACCAGGCTGCTTTGTGCAGTTTCTACCACCAAACTCTGTTTTCAATGGCCATCCCACCTGACCCACATTATATTGTTTGTTAATATTTTTTGAAGGCCTGGTACTGTCGCTTTGCGTGAGATCCGTCGTTATCAGAAATCCACTGAGCTGCTGATCCGCAAGCTACCCTTCCAGCGCCTGGTGAGAGAAATCGCCCAGGACTTTAAGACTGATCTGCGTTTCCAGAGTGCAGCTATCGGTGCTCTGCAGGTCAGTATTACGATCAAATTCACCTTATGTAGACTAAATCAATTAATCATTTAGCCTAAAAGTAGATGTTAAAACTAATGATAAGTGCCCATAAGATACCAAAGACAAAGCAATCAATCACTTAGTCAGCTGGTCCTTTTATCTTTATTGACTGTTACATTTCCTGTTTCCTTTCTCTGCAGGAGGCCAGTGAGGCCTACCTGGTGGGTTTGTTTGAGGACACCAACCTGTGTGCTATCCATGCCAAACGTGTCACCATCATGCCCAAAGACATCCAGCTGGCACGTCGTATCCGTGGGGAGCGTGCTTAAGTGTTCTCTCCTCCTCTTGGTTTTTCTCCTTCTCACCTCCTCCTGCCCTTCCTTCACTGGTCTGTCTCACTGCCCCTCAACTCATCCCTTTCTCCCCACCTCCCTGTGTTTGTAGTGTGTAGAGGAAAACTGATTATATTATGAATAAAGTGTATAGTCGTGTTTTTCATAGTGCTCTCGACAGCAGACTTCTAGGGTACTCTCTTTTTGTGCATGTACCAACTCTGTTGATACTATCTCCTCAAGCACACGCCTCTGAGTTTGCACTGTTTCTGCTCTTGCCTGTTTGGGGTAAAGATGATCAGGGAATCAAGTAAGGAAAAACATGGACAAGAACAATGCAAACTTGGGAGGGACAGACAGGAGGAGAGGATGGGTATTTTTCTGCTGGGGGACTCCTGTCTCTTTTTTGCAGCAGGGTGCTAGAAGAATTTACCTGGTCTTCTTCTCCTGCTTCCTGTCCTCTGCCCACCTCCACTCAGAAATGAGTAGAGACAACAGCCTAAAGTCTCTTCTCATGAAGGCTGAGGTTGGAATTTTCTGTCCCTGTGTGTGTCTGCAGGAGTGTTGGCTCTGGTCACCACTGCAACTTGTATAAAATCCATCAGCATCTTTGGAGAAGTTGGTTTCTGATTACCATATTGATCATTCTTAATATTAGGGTTTTTTTTTTCCTTCCAAAATATGTGTTGTGCACGGGATGTGTTTTTTCATTTCAAACTGTGGATGACATGGAGGGGGTGGGGGTGAATCAGATAAAAACACAGAACATGAACAAAAAAATTTAGAAAAAAGTTTCTACACAAATGTGATGCTGCTTACTTCTTTAGGCACCAACATTTGGTCCTTCTGTTGTTGCTCTCTTTCTAGCTGACAACTTCAGCGGTTTTTGTGGTGTTGAAATTGGTTTCATCTAATTATTTTAAAGCCAAAGCTTGAGAGCTCAAGTATGGTGTCACAGACACTTTTTCTTTGAACAGTGGCTCATGTTTTAATAGAGGACCTTTTTATAACAAAGGTTTATAAAAGGTCACGTTCTCAAAAATTTAATTCTCAAAATGTGAAAGTTATTTTTCTTTTCTTTTTTTACCAAAACTGGTTCAAACACATATTATAAATCAGTGTTACATGACAAATAATGATAGTCATGTTTTCTGTATACAACCCCCCTGTGCCTCGATTTTTGTCTCCGGATCAGTTGATCATCTGTGTGCTGTTTCTCAGGTTGACCTGTCACCCTTTTAACTTTTTTTTTTCTTTTTTGATCAATATGATTTTTGTTTTTGAAATGTTGAGAATGATTATTCAATTAAACAATGTTTGTAATTTCCAGATTTCTCATATAAGGTGGTAATAATAAATGGATGTTACACACACTCCCCTGTGTCATTGGTGGCTGAATAGAAGGGTTGTGTTTAATTAAATTATATTTAGGTCAAAACTGAAACAGGGAGTTTTTGATAGAACAAAGGGCCACTGTTCCTTTGCCTGTGTCCTGTTCAGTGGTCCTGTTACAGCAGTTGGCATACTGGAGAAATAACAGGTTTAAAAAAAATGCAATAGATCACATTTGGATGAAAATGGTTGTTTGAAGATAATACAGAAAATCAAAACGGCATCATAAGCATAAAGTAAAGCACCACAATTCTTGGGTAAATTTCAATGACAACAATAACCCCCATGAAAACCATAATTAGCCCGAGGATGTTTTTATTTTATAGTCTGAGTGTATCATTAAGCACACCTGCACCCTTAACCTCTATAGGGCCACAGGGCATTAGTGCTCAAGGATCAATGAAGCAAAGGAGCATCATGTGAGACTCATAAGCAGTACTCTGACCTAATTGCTGATCATATAATGGATGCCTTAAATGTTTAGTGGTTTGGAAAAATGTTTCAAGGCTTGCACATGTTCCCACACCATGAACAACACAAATGGATATGAGAGGCTTCATACTAGTAGTTCATATTGTAGATTTACTGGAATATAATATGACCCTTAGTTCAATAAACACAGTGTATAGTATTTTCATATATCAAGTTGAGATCCTCAGCTCATGCTGACATTACACCACAAGATGGCAGTAAAACACCATGTATGTAAATTAAACTCTTAAACTGTGATAGTGCTATGTAAAAATATGAGTTAGATAAAGTGTGTATTTAAAATATTTCAATATATGTAGTATATTTATGGAAATATGTATTTACTCCTATAACATTTGTACTTTTAACTAATGTTTATCCATTTTACATCAAATTTATATCAAATTCTACCAGCAATCTTACAGTACCACTAAAAACCGATATTAACTACAAAAGACCTCTTTACCCATAGTTTTATCCTTGCTAGATACATTGTTTTGTACCTCTCTCTCATGCATACAAAAACAGGAACACAAACACACAGAGACATGACACTAACATTACAAACAACATCTCTCTCTAGGTTGATATCATTCCCCTCATCAGTGTTTTGTTTCATCCTTCTCCTTTGTTTATTAAAATGGATAGAGCCATGCATTCAGCCATATTCATTACAATGAAACACACACACACACACACACACACACACAATCAACCATGTCATTGTACCCACATATACTCATTACACTGAAACACAAACAAAACATCTAATTAAACACCAGCCTTTAATCCTGTTGTTTTGAATAGATTCCACAGCTTCAGTGGTATGGACACACACAAACACACATTGAACCAGTCATTTTGCTAGAGTGAAGGCCAGCTCTGTCTCCATCCAGTAAAGTGGAAGCGAAATCACATTTCAGGCTGGTGTCACCAGTCAAACCGATACAGCTGTAATGATAGAAAACTGATTTTCTTTCTGAATTATTCATCTATTTGTTCAGGAGGTTTGGTCAAGTGTGCCATTACATGGCAACATTTCAAAGGAACCATTTCTTTCAGGATTAACATTGGCATGTGGAACTAGTAGCCTTTATTGTTCTAAACAAACTTAGTTATCAGCAGCAGCCAGAGATGAGTGACGTGAAGGAGCATCAGTTTCTGTATTAGACCCATAAGCAGGACTCTGCCCTAACTGCCCACTATATAATGTCCATGTAAATGTACTGTAAACAATGTCCATGCGTAAATATGTATGTGCATAATTCTTTTTTTCTAATTGTGTGCTTTTCTGTGTATATTTGTGTGTGTTTGTGTGTACACAACTGTGCATTCACCTTCCCAAGGTCTGCGTAGTGATGCTCCATCTGTGGCACTCAGGGGATTACAGTCAATCTGTCTGTCTGCCGCTCAAAGTGCTGACGGTCAGACCAGCAGCAGATTAATACTGTGTTGGGATTGGAAGAGGGAGGTGGGTATTGAGGAAGAGAGCGCGAGAGAGAGAGAGGGGTGTGTGTTGGGGGAGTGGGGGGCAAAGGGTGAGTAGGGAGCAGGTTGGGAGGCCATCCCAGGATTAATACACTACTGGTACAATGTGCGTGTGTGTGTGTCTGTCGTTGGGAAGGGAGGAGGCACTTAGACAAACAATAAAGTAAAGTACAGAGTGACAGAAGGGGGAGAAGAAAGAGGGACAGATGTACTGTATGTGGTGGGTGAATGGATATAATAGACTCAACACAGGAAGAAATATGTAATTTACAGAGTTAGGACTTAAGATTTCTATAAATCTTCTCCCACAGCTAAAATACTCCACACGTCTAGAGATTACAAATGCCTTTGAAATGATTACAAAGACATTGTAAATAAAGAAGTTGATGAGTATGAGGGAAATGGTGAGCAGTTTGAGATAGTCCGTCTTCAAAAGCATTTTTTGCTGTTGGATTCTTTAAACAGATGAAAAGTGAAAGCACTTGAAGTGTGTAGAGCAAAAAAAGAGGAGGTCAAACCTTGATTTCTCTACCACCAAATGGTTGTGACTGTCAGATTGATGTTTTCCAAAATCTGTTCCTGAAGCTACAAAAATGGTCAGTCTCAAGGAACAGGGTATGCTTGAAACAAACAAGCTCACACAAAACATCTCAAGGCTGTCCTGAGTAACAGCAACCTGGCATCACAGAGATGACCCCGATGCAATCACTTATACAGATCAGGATCTAATAGCACATATGTTCAGACACTTCAGAATTTAAAAAGGAGCTCAAACTACTTAGTGAACATCTGTATGAATTTAGCTTTAAGGATCGGGAAAGAGCATAAGCAAGTAAGATAGTCAGAAGAGAACCAGATAGTTTCTGAGACTTGAGAGTTAAGCACCAAAAAACATTGCATTCATGAACTTGTCATTTAATGTGGGCCAAATAAATGTAATCAGCAATGATGAGGAGACAGAACCCGGAATACCAAGGAACACACAAATGTTTTGTTATAAATAAAAGTCTAAATAATTGGTTAAGAATAGCAGTGAATAAAGTGAGATTAGGAAAGGTTTACCCTCTCCCTGTCCCTGTGGAGTAAAAGGACAAAGTCCAGGTGGGATGTCAGGCAGGAGATGGGAAGACATGGGGGAGTTTATGTGTGTTTGTGGTGGGGGGTTGTGGTCATGGTGGCAGGGTGGTGACTGGGACGGGGGGTGAGTAGGTTCCGACTAGATGGGCAGACCACCGAGATTAATGTAATGTACTACTGTACAAAGACACGTGGTGGGGGGGGTTAGGGTGTGGAGGGAGTCCAGGACTGCTCCCAGGGATTAACTATGTTGCACCATTAGCACAAGCTGGCAGTGAACTAGCACCTCAGCAGGGTTCTGTGCAGAGAAATTGTGTATAGGCTATGCATTAATAATGAGAGCTGTAAAATGGAAGGACGTGTAGCCAGAAAACCAAAACATTGTCCTTTTCAAATGTTTAATTTCTGGACACAAGATATCACTTACTTTACCTAAAAGTCTGTTCTCAGTCGCATATTGAACTATGATTGTCTTAAAAACTAGATGTGATGTCAGTATGTACAAGTCTGAAACAAAGATTGAATTTAAAAACTTTTCTCTTTCAGGAGATGAAAGTTAAAACAACCTTAGTGTCAAACTCTGCACATATTGTACATCATTCTGCATAGTGGAACACACTTTGTCAGTGGTGGGGCAGTTTAACTCTGTAAGAGCATCAGTCATCTGACATCAAACCTGCACCTTTCTTGTCATTATTGACTGAGTTGTGTTACTGTGCTGTACCGGTGTGTGTCCCAGTATATTTGTATGTGCCTGTGTGTGTGTGTGGCCTGTGTCTCTCCGGCCATGTGCTTCTCTAGTCACACTGCTACCAGGAACAAGGGGGGAGGGAGAGGAGAGCATACATAAGTCTGTCACACACATGCACACCCTCTACAGCTCCCCCTAATGACTGATTGGCAGCAGCACACGCATACAAACAAATTTCAACTTGCACAAAATTTATAGTTGTACTTTTTGCCATTTTTGCAAACAGTTTATTAAAATGACATATTTCTTTCTGTGTTGAGTCTAGTTATGATGGAAAAAGTGTGAAACTGAAAAAAAAAACAAGTCCTTATTTTAAAAAAAGTTTAAACAGCGAAGATACAGTGAACATTTTTTTTATTGTGTGTCTGACAAACCTCTTATTACAGTAACTAAAAATACATTTAACCAGAAACCAAAGAACAGAAGGAGTAAGGATATGTCCTATCTAAGCCCAATTAGCAACATGTGAATTCATACATTTTATTTATTAAATAATAATATTTTGTTTGTTTTGTGTGTATGACTGTACACAAACACACAGGCTTGTTGATGTGATTGTTTTTAACATTATGCAGACAAACTGGTATGTAAATAGTTACTGAGTCACAGAGATGAAACAAACATGTTGACTTGTTGTTTGCAGAACACGTTTATGTGCTTGTATGTGCCTGTGTGTGTATGTAAGTGCATCAGTGTGTGTCTGACTAATATTTTAATGGAGGCGCCCCCCTGAGCCCCCACCCCAGCATCGGTCTGTGATTGGTTTGCAGCTCCAGCAACAGGGATTAGACCATGTTTCCCTGCTCTACATCCCCTGTTTCTCTCTCTCTCTGTGTCTTTCTTCATTCTATTTCTCACTCTTTCTCCACATGTCACATGATCCATTACATCACGGAATTGAGGTCAGAGCTGGATTAGAAAGAACTACACCAGCAAGCGAGAGAGAGAGACCATGCTGGAATTACTGAAAGTAATGGAAGAGAAGAATGTGTGTGTGTGTTGGGGGTGATGGGATCAGATGGTCCTCAGATGAACAGAAGAAGAGAAAGAGAGGAAAACAAAAATAGAGAAATAGTGAGAGATGGAGACAAAGAAAGAGAAGCACAGGATGGCAGGGAGGGGAATGAAGATGTGAGCAGTTTAAACTAAAAGGTGCTGAACAATTCAAAGGTCCCGGTGTTGGCATCTGATGAA